AAGACAAGGGCTCTACTTTTAGTAGGTTCGAGTCGATGTCTCCGAATTACAATGCCGACCTCGTGGGTACTGTGCCACCACGCTTAAACTGCCTTCTTATAACGGACAATAATTAAGCTGCAAATTTGTCCATTTTGATAATTTCTTATGGCATCAAATTATTTTTAAATTGCCTCATTGGTGATACTTTTGGTCTTGCATCAAAAGTAGTCTTCCTACCTTGAAGTAAAACTGTCTGCCAGACGTCTTCACTTTTTGCGTTGTTTAAATCAATACTAATATTCCTTCGTTGAGTTTATGAACTTGTGATGCGATATGTAATTATACGATATGATCACCTGTAATGATGAACAAGAATAAAGAGAGTAAGGTTAACAGAAAAGTTAACATAAAGTTTCTTGCCTTCGTTGTGCATGATGTTCAATGATTAAGAGCGTGTTGTCGATGAATGGAATCACTAGCATTTGTCCCTTAGAGTTTTTTAAGCGATGCGTATAAGCTGTTTTCTGTTGATTTGATGTCCTAAAACGCACCGGTATACGTCATACTGCCGCTGTCATTAATATGAGTTGACACTTTGACGCTCATACAAATATAGTTATTTTTAAACATATGCAACGGAATAAGGCTAAAATATGTTTGAGCAAAGATTATGCATATAACAGTGTCTTACGAGTAGTTCAAGAAGTATCAGCACTCCGACATAAGCTATGTATTAATTTAATTTGCAAGTGCCTGCTGACATTATAACAGTCAATGGTCCGTCTTCCATATGCAGTTTCAAAAGGAATGAGTCACTGCTATTAAACTGTAGTCCATAATTAATAGTCGAAATACCTTAAAATAAACAGTCATTTTCGTGATACTGTCATTCAGTATCACAAAAATAAAAATTATTTAAATATATCTTTGACTGATCTACAGTTTTCTTCATAGCATATTTTTTGCCATTTTTCTAGTAAACCTATGGTGTCATTAATAATGCCTGGTTCGTCTAATATTTTCACTATGTAAATTGTTTAGACAGACTAATGAATGGAGATTTATTGTAAATCCGGACGAGAAGTCTGCAAAGATCTGTCATTTCCTGGTCGGAAAAGGCCTCTTTAGATTTTGTCAAATATCTTCGTTGTTCATGTGGATAGCCAGCAAATTTCTTGTGTCTGAGATTGCACTTTGCCGTGTATGCGCGGTTATAAATCAGTTGAAACTGAAAAAAGTATGCGGTTTACTACCTTGGTATAAGCTTCTAATGGTAAAATGTCATATCTCAGGATTCTGCCCATTTATTATTGTCGCTACTGAATTTTATGATCCTGTTCTTCTTATTCTCTGTAATGGCACAGTGCAAGTGACTCCAATGATTTGGACAGCTGTCACCGCGTAGGTTTGTAACCTTTGGATTTAGATTTGCGTGATTATCATTCGTTTCTTCCTCACACATGCATCAGTTGTTATTTTCTACTCAGATAGGACACATGGTTATCCGTGTTGCAAGAGCGAGTTGCGCTTGGCGAGAGTAAAACAAACCTCTCACAGGTATCCAATGTGTGACGACATCGCAGACCAGTTGATGGTCCTCGCATTGAAAGCGTGTGTCATCCAAGCATCGGTTTGGCAGTGATATCCGTTAAGAAGAGGTCCAAATGTATTCTGTAAAACCCGAATTTCTTCAGTTCTGCTGATCCTTCAACACTTTTCGGCCAGTGACTTATAATTGTCTTCTTGTACTTCAGTGCCCATGTTCTATGGCTATGTTCATTGTTCTGTGGCTTAACTCCTGACTCCTGGTGTTGATGTTGCGATGCATGCACAAATCCAGAAAATAGAAGGTATGATACTGGTACCAAATGTCATTACACATTGTTTTTGCTCCATTTTCTTTAACGACGGTCGCAGATGCTGCGTTACATTGCAATACGTCTGGAGAGTACAACAATTTATTAAAGTGTGCTTCTCACGGAGTTTGTCTTCGGGAGCGTTGAGTGTTTTATAAGGTGGGCTTTTTGTCCATTTTCGGGACATATACGTCACTTTATTTTACTGATGTCCTGTTCATTTGCGGAACAACGATTGATCGTCATTTTGCCAATCTAACGCGTAGGATACAGTGTTCGTTCATCGTCATCATTTCAAGCCACAAAACGAAAATACTATTCATGATTCATCACATATGCTCAATTGAATGATTGCTAATTTGAATTTACAAAGCATTCCATGCGTTAAGGTATGAAAGAAATTGAATTGGCGATAAAGTTCAGAAGTTGTTTTTTTCTGCCTTTGTTGTTACCGCAATCATCTCAATCTGGTACGTAATATAGTGCGTAATATGTTTAAATAATATATTTCATAAACGTTTCATGATAATCATTTGGTAGGTCACAAACAGGAAGACAGAGCATAAAATGTTCTTTTATTACGGACATCTGATGTTTCGGACCCAGCTCGGTCCGTCTTCAGAGTATTGTACTCTGTAATGGATCACATCAGGAATTAGAAAGAAAATCGTTCAATGAGCCCCTTATTAAATTATGTATTATCTGGAATTATTCTCGATGTTTAGTTTGTCCGTTTCCTCCCCAACCACCTAAACGTAACAGGCCTGCAGAACAGACTCAAATTAGCGGTGCCTGTCAGTTTATGAATAATATTTTATTACCTCTCATGCAACCAGCAATGACACTC